CGTGCTTACAGGTTTTAAGAGCCATTAGAAGGAGCATCAGTGACTCTCAGGACAATGATGGCAATTACAAAGCACTTCAGTGACCAGAACACAGGATGACCACCCATCTTCCCGTGTTTCTACCTCCTGGCTTCGCTGCGTCTCGTAACTCAAGCAATTAAAATAAAATGGCTGAATCCAGCGACATACCCTCTCCCACGCTCTGACTCGGAATGAAATGTATGGAAGTTCTCATAAAATCGTCTACGTGCTCATGAGTAAAATTCTAATTGACCTCTGCCTCATCATTTGGCCTACTGGAGCGTGAAATCCATCGCGGTAGATCACGATTAATGTTTCTCACTCCAGTCTCTCACACAAATCGAAGATTATTATTCTGTCTGCACTTTAATCCTCAACGGTTCAAGAAAACTATAAGGCGAAGAACAAGGAATCCACTAGTTTTGTCCCAACGCTTCAAAATTATAAGGATTATAGCATTATTATCACTTAAAATAAGATTCAGAAGAAACATTCTTAACTATCTGGGCGACTGTGTGCTTCTCAATTAGTACCCTTCTCAATTCAATTAACCTAATATTCATAACTAAGATTCTATTAAAAGTTACATATATCAAACAAAGTGGTATGTTTTCATTTCCTGTACCAACTTTCTCGAACAATAAGTTTTTCGACAAAATCGATAAACTTTAAAAAACATTCTCATGTAAATCAGAGATTAATCTATATTAGACAGATACGAAAGGACATTCAGGAAATAAAACCGAAATCCATCTGAAACGTATGTAACGGCAATGTAAAATTTCATCTAAAATTCACAGAGTAACCTACTTTAGCAGATGAAACATAACTAGAGGCAAGATCTTTTCATTACGTGTTCGCTTTGAGCACTTTAAGCAACGAAATCGTGACCATCGTTATTTTAATAACACCTAGAATTACAAAAAAAGACTATTGGTATGCTCTATATTTGTTTAATCATCTACGCGAATTAATTGGGCTGGCTTTGTGTACCAGTTCTGTGCCGTTATATTATCAAATATACCACAAAGTGAGTATAATCCCACTGATCCAATTTCTGTACTCAGCAGCTACTCTTGGGTGAAAACTTAATTACTCTATGACGTACTCTTTCAAATGAACAATGAATTTCCAGTCGACAGTTCACCCTACTGCGATAACAAAATTGACGATATTAATAAATGCAAACCAATTTCGATTACATTCTACTTTAAATATTATCCTCGGATTACAAACATCGCGCTATCCACTGCGCTGTAAACATTTGTATGGTTATTATTGTCTATAATAATGAATAATAATAATACAGGATCAAATTAAAGGTTTTATAGACATCATCGAGCTCTGACTTCAATAAAGTTCGAGATGTCTTTAATTAAACAACAGTATGGAGAATATGAGGCAACGAAGGGTGGAACCAACGCGCTTAGTTATTGGGAAATACTAGGAACTTCAGTTACTGAATTAAACGTGACATCCAAACCAAACTTGAAGGAAGACTGGAATGCGGACAAATACAGAGGTGAGAGATGTGGTTCGTTTAATGCATACAAAGGGTAAAAGATTATTTCGTTGTTGCCAAACCAGACTTTAGGATGAGATGGAACGTCTCTACCAATGAAGCAACCCAGTAGACTGGAAGGCGGGGATTTGATTCCCAGAAGATGCAAAATCTTTCTCAGACTGTGGAAGAAATCCATCTCTTCTAGGTAGATTTCAATGTTTCGAAGTAACACACTGCCTCCATCTTCATGACTAAAATGAGTTTGCTTCGGAAAGCAGACAGTCAGTATAGAGTTAGGACTATGGCTAACTAAGCTATGGACAAACAACTGATCTTCATTCCTTCCACTTCCCAAGAACTTCACTTCTATCCTGTCTTCGTACAAAGCATCACGAACCCCAGTCTTCAAGAATCACGCAGATGCACTTCCATATAAATAGCCAATTACAAGCGATACAGACAGCTGTAGCTTGTAGTTATTCGTTCCATGTTTTAAGGCAGTTTAATTTAAGAGATTCCGTAACTCGTTTGTGGCATAACATTTTTAAAACAGGAACATCCAACCTAATATGGCTTTAGCTTAATAAATTCTTCTCGGGCTACCAGCCGTGTGAGGTGGCTTAATGAAGAGGTGGTATGTGTGTCTTCATTGAACCCGAGAAGAACTTATAGTCTTCTTCCTAGTCCTCGCTTTCCTTCAACCTGGCCTTCGATGATGTCACTCAGTAACCCCTTCCTTCTCATAATATGTCCCAGCCAGTTAGCTTTCCTTCGTGTAATCGCCTGCAGAATGTTTCTTTGCTCGTTGACTCTCCTCAATACTTCTTCGTTGGTCACTCGATCCGTCCACCTGATCTTCTCTATTCTTCTCCAACACCACATTTCAAAACTCTCCAGGTATTTCTGTTACCAACGTTTTATCGCCCTGATGACGGAGGCAGTATGACCTCCGAAACGTTGGTTAACATCGACCAGACTTCACAGCGCAACAACCCAGAAGACAGAAATCTTCATACTCACCGCTCTGAAAATCTCAAATCTTATTATAATTAGTCGCCGTGAAAGCTTCAAATCATACAAGACTTGAGCTTCATTACATGTTTTCATCCGAACTACTGTCGTTTCCAACTCCTTACATTTACTCATCCCATTCTGCATCCACCCTACTAAAACTTACTTTACCCCTTCCTTCTGATACTTAGAATTCCGCTGGAAAGGAGTTTTCTGCGTATAATGTAATTGTCGCAGAATAAATTACGTGCGCAACATACTAAACCCATATGGGCACTACATTTGAAGACACTGGAATTGTTATCTACGATAAAATATACGATTAAAAACAATTTTGAATTTGTTCAGATTTCCAGTTGTTTTGTAGTACCTTTAATTAAATTTCTACTTGCTTTTATCCATTTTTACACTGTTTTTGACTGTGTATATCATCTTCCTCTCTTAAATCTATTGTCTTCGCTACCAAGGATTATATTTTTTAGTAAATGTTTTCCTCCTACTTTCCTTTATATACATCTTTTCTTGTGTCTAATTTTCCTTCCCATTTTTACTGTTGAGTTATTTTTAACCATCTCCGCTTTACCTTCCTGGCCCCTCAGGTCTCATAGCTTACCACTTTCTACTCCTGTTCTGCAGTTATTCCTTTCCGACCTCAACTCTGTGTGTTCTTCTAGAAGAAAGCTAACTAATGATACTCCTCCTCCACAAAGACTTGCTCTCAATCTTTCCGTCAAAATTTCAAAGGAAGATAACGTTTCTGATTCAAAGACTACTGATCTCTATCAAATCTCTCTTCTAGCAGGAAGAAAGCACATATATTAATTACTAAGCGGTCTTCAGAAGAATATTATCATAAATTATTTTTTCGGTTCATGCAGCGGGAATGTTAATGCACTACGTTTCAATTTTCTCACTACCTGAAACATAAAGACGTCGTAGTAAATCACGTCGAAATTAATTAGCTGTTTGTGATTGTGTACAAATACTTTTATCAACAATAACTTTGCCGAAATCTATAAAGTCCCTAATATTACTTCAACAAAATACATCAGTTCACAGTCCAGATGATATGAGTGTGGGGCTTTGCACTGAATATTTTTAATATATTCAATGCTGATATTATGTGTATACAGTACAACTAACCTACGATCTCTACAGAAATCCTTAGCTGTCTCATCTATCACTGCCCCATAAGGGACACGAAGCAGCATATTACCATACCCTCGGCTATAAGTTAGAAGTATTATCTATGACCTCGCACTTGACTGATATGCTGTGGTATTTCCACTTATTGACACAGCCAGAGTACTCATAAAGTATCTGTTCATACTCTTTTCATGTCACAACCACAAAGCTAGATTATAGATTCTGGGATGAAGAAAGTTTAGCATGTCACATCTATAAGAGACAAGAGCTGCAGACAGTATATTAATAGGCATCTGGAAAGACAGGAGGTTACCATGTGTATTCGTAGAAGTCAGGTGTATTGAATAACATTACAAATAGCTCGTGATACAATTTAAGGAAGTAGAACTAATTCAAATCCTCACTCTTATACCATATTTATTTAAATCCAACGTAATATTACTCTATTCAAAATGGTTTCTTCCATTTGGGTTTCCCGACAACAATTTTGCATGTATTTTACATATCTGTTATATGAGATACAAACCTCGTTCATCTCGTCATTTCTGTAACATTCGATAAAGAACACAAATTATTAACCTCATCATCATATATTCTTCTCCAATCTCGTATTACGAGATGCCCCGACGTAAAGTACACCAGGGCACTTTGACACGGGGTTTATTACCACAGAGATACGTCTGCTTGCACACGTTCAGACATCATAACAGAATTTGTCTGTGTAATCACCACCTTGCTGAGGCATTTATCCCAGTGGAACACCCTTCGCAAAGAAATCCTGGACAAGAACATCTACATACTCAAGGTCTCACTGCAAACATCAATCACAAACCTCTGCCCTAATGAATTATGTTTGAAGGGCCAAAACAGATGAAAGTCTGTCAGTTCCAAGTGAGGACAGCGCGTAGGTTTCAGTAGCACCTCCCAGCTATACGGCTGAAACCATTGTTCCGTCAGCTGGGCTGTGTGTGAAATTACATTGTCGTGAAGCGTTATCGCATGTTGACGATAGACCATGATACACTCCTCATGATTGAATTGGTGCGTTATCCTTTGCAAACATTAAGCGGAATCACGCTACTCAGCTCTAGTCACGCTGTCTTTCCGGTTTGGATATCACGTGAGCATGCGCAGACCTCCTCAAGTCGTGTCCCCCCCAAAAGAAAATTCTTTACAGTCCCGGTCCTCAAACCCCCTGCATATAAGAACCTTTAGGAAAGTGGCAAGAGTGACCTCTAAACTAGATCAACAAGAGATCAAAATTCAGCATTACCACCGACTGCCCGCAGATGATCAAAACTGGTGTATTTGTTTTCAGCTGTCCGTGTCAAACGAGAGTGTTGTGGTGCTCCGGAAGGTCGGATTCAACCTGTCTGGCAACTTCAGCTGCGAGGTGACAGTAGAAGCCCCATCCTTTTCTACAGCCACAGTCTACCAGCAAATGTTGGTTGTCGGTAAGTAGAACCGCCCACTTGCTGTTCACGCACTTTATGGTCAAACACAAATAGTTCACGGGGCATGCGGCAGTTGCTGTTCTGCAAATTATATGTGATTTTCCACGAGAAGCCACATGCAGACTCCTTTGACATAACTTTGTTTCTACGTCCTACGTTCGAAGAGCTAATTATACTTCTGCCCCATTAATGCTTTTCATTTTTTAGTAAAGAAGGAATTAAATATGGAACTAGTTTTAATTTGGTCATAATACTAAAATAAATAATACTACATTCATATATTACATATTTTTGTGCCCCTACAAACTACTCAAAATACTGCCGGATTGGGGATCTTTCAGATTCGAAAGGATTTAAATATTCTTGAAGAGTTTAAAGGAAACATTCAACTTCAATACACGGTAGACTGTTCAGGTGAATAAAATCTCAGTGCCAATTTATCTTATGTCATAATTGTACAAGTAAAATAATATTTATTTTTGTCAGTGAATCTATTAAATAGACAGTAAGAGTCTTAATACTTGCATAAAGTTTACGCTTGCCAGCAACTTTTGTTCCTAGCCATTTGTCAACACGTGATTATAACTGCAAGTATTTTAGTTACATCTGAAGTGTTAGTAGCCATGTCACGGGTCTTTTCAGCACAGGCGCCTAATGTATGAACACTCCCAAAAACACAATGCACATGTGTTTCAACTTACTCCTCGCCAGAATCGCTATAATAAACATACTACATAACCTTATTTCAACATGGACGCCACATAACTTCCTAACGACAGGTTATATTATATATAGGTCAGTTAATTTTGCAAGCTGCCCAACAACTGTGTGCTGTGCTGTGTTTTATTTGCATTCTATCTCTTATCAGCGCAGCATTCATGTTTTTATATTCATCGCCCTGCTAACTTGAGAGGCAAAACACAGCTCATTTGCAAATATAAATCACCTCGTGTGAGTTAAATGCATTTTCTTACGTCTCGTTGTTCTCTGTTGTTGCTTTATTACGTTAATCAGACTGTAAAACGGTAAAATAATATCAAAACGTAAAATACAACCTGCTCGTAAGAAACAAACCTGCCACAAAGTTTTCATGGCGAAAATTGTATAAAGACATTTATGGTAGGTAAATGCTATTTGTGGCTTCGAAGGATATTATACTTGCAATTGTCTATAATGCATGACAAAATGTTAATGTCGTACTGAACAGCTAAGTTTGCGTACTTCATTTTCAGCTTGATTTCTCTTACACCTCAATGAAAGTCATACTTGTGGTATCCTTTCGTTATTAGTTGGTCTCTTTCGAAGATTTTAGAAGATTTCTACGCATTTTTCTGTAGGTATAGACAGCCGAAGCGTAAAACGCGAAACGCGTCGCTAACCTCCTCTGTAAACCGCTTTTGAGGCTTAGTGGATCTTTACAAGAACTCTCCCTCGCCATTATGTTACGACAGATAAAGGATTTTTGCATTTGTAATACTAATCCACGAATGGAAATTTCAACAAAACATGAAACAAAACTGCGCACGTCACTGAAGACCGGCTAGGACTACCTAGCGCATTACGAACTACATTCCTTGGCGTATGTCAGTGTGATGAGGTCTCTGACTCGCGAGTCTCCTGTGTACAGTGGATTGATTATTGGCGAGGGCTTTGTCCTTGGTAGCAGTTCTACAAATACTGACCCAGAGTGGATAAATCTAGCCTGCGAGTCGGCTGTTATTGCTTAATAATTATGGTAGTTCTGAGAAACAGTTTTTTTTCTCTTTTCTAATGCCACCATACAGTGTGGCAACAGCCTGTCGGCAAACAACGTTAACATATTACCACCGGACATGCAGCAAAACATATAAATGTTCCTCAATACACTTCTATAACTTACAGAAGATAGGCTTTTAGGGAACACAGGGTACTTAATTCTGTACGAATAGCTGAAAATTATTGTGAAATAGAATACTGATGAAATACGAAACAGACTTACAGTATTATACTTACTTTACACATTTTCTGTCGTTTCTTTCATTTTAAGTTTAAATTTTAGGGGCTACTTCTAGATGTAATTATCTAAAATTAAGCACATCTTAATTTCCATCGATATTTCTAGAAAAATGATACAGTTTTTCGACTCATATATTCTTCTACTTCACATCTCCTAAGTAATAAATCTGAGAACCTTTATTTTTGTCAAATTGTCTCACAAATAAATACAAATTTATCTGCCCTGCCCAGGCTAAACTTGAGAGATTTTCAAACTTCTTACGTTTCTTTCTTTCTTAATTTCTACTGCATTGATATCAATTACAAAATGTGGGTTAATAATATAATACTACTTACTACTATAAAAATATTTCTTAGTCAACAGAAAATACGTGAATAAACGAAGTTAATTTACAAGATATTGAACGGAATAGTTTAAGTGCCCAATGACAACGTTTGTTTAGCTGTGGTTTTGTAATCCACAGCCTCTAACAAACATTTCCATGTTAAGAGGCGAATATTTCAGAACAGAGAATGTGTTCACAAGTCTTCGGACTTTAAACACAAGTAAATCTGAGACTTGCATGGAGAAATCACAGCAATTCTGACAGCTGGATTTTAAAATATTTTTCTCACTCTCGTAATGGGAAATTTAAGACTAAAAGTCAGGCGTATTAAGCTATTGCTGGTGTGTCGCATTTGCAACCTTACATTTACTGAGGGCCCAAAAGAGACTGCAGGCTACTGGCGCTTGAATGTTGCCGAAATATTACTTAATTCTCTTCGTTGACTTTGGCCGATTTTGTGTGATAACTGTTACGACAAAAACTACAAATGCAGGAAAAGATGTTTAATCTGATCGCAGAAATTAAATATCACTTTTAAATTGTTATGTATTCCATTTCGTAGGATAATCACAAAAATGAAAGTTCATATTCGAGAGAAAAATAAATTCGTTAAACCAAAAGAAGTTTGGAGATACCTAAAGTTGTATGGGAGGATAATATTAATACCAGAGAAATAGTGTGTGAACTTGTACACTGAATTAATCTGGTTTGGAATACAGAATAATGGTCGAAGTATTTAAACACGATAACGAGTCACCGGATTCTTTAAAGACAGGATATTTGTAGACCAATTTGGTAACTATCGAATTTTGAAGGTACGCCGAACCATGAAGGTAGTTTCGCATTTATTTCAGCAAGCGAAGCACTGCGAGAACACCTCTATTCATAAAAATAGTTACAAAAACGGGGAAGGTTTATTGCTTGTGACGTTGAAGAAACTTAGACTTTTAAATACATCCCCCTGTTACTTCCTCCCCCTTCTGCTCAAATATTCTTCTCAGCACCCTCTTCTCAAACACCCTCAACCTTCGTTCTCCACTTCCAAATCAATATGAAACAATCTCTAAGACTTTACAGTTCACTAATATTTAAAACGCCTATATGATAGTTTATCTTGGCTCCAGGGTTCCCTAAATGCCATTTAAAAGACAGATAACTCTGTTTTCAAGTACGCTGTGGGTAAATTTAACACTATGAAACTTTATTGCTCTAAAGGGCCATTTGGCATGACATTTCAATTAAACTTTCGTTCTCAAATGGTGTAGAAACCCACGCTAATTCCTGACGCTACAAAGCGATGAAAATATATTTCACTGACAACAAGAACTTCGCATTATCCTGTGCCCAGGGACCTGTAAAGAATCTATTGCAGCCACTACTAGCAAAATTGCAAATCATGCATTTGAAACACTATTAGCCTAAAAACAGGGGCATACTATTAGTGTTTGTGACCTACAATCCGGACTCATTCTTATCCAGTTACTTGAACATAGAAGTTCGGTTATATTTCTTTCGTGCTCTGTAAATTTTCCGTTGAGTGAAAACAGCGAATGCAGATGGGATTTTAGTTTTACACGACGGTGAAGATGTCGCTGTTTGACTTCTGAACAGTAAATCCGTGTAGACGTGTGGGTAGACATCAACGTTTCGGAAAAAAAGTGGTATTACTGTCCTCAAAACAAGCAGCGATAGTAAATTCAGATACTTATTTTAATATAGAAACCTATTAAACAAGTTATCTTTCAATTTCATGCGAAAGTATATGTATTTTGAACTCAAAATTTGGGACCTACACTGTGCTGAAACTGTTCAAGAATTCCTTCTCGTTTTTACACATTTTGTGAAATAAAACAGACGAACTAAAGCCCTCACCTCACCATTGCAATATTTCAGCGTCATATTTCATCTTTTCCCTTCGAAACTGTCAACTTTTTGTTGTCGTCACGGTAACGGTGGCACTGGCTTCAGGTTTCTAGGAGCAAAATTCTGGTCGGGGACACGAGACGGACAGAGAGAGAAAGAGTCACTGGAATAAATGCAAAGACAACGCTTTTGTACAGCATCTTTTGTGACACCGAACCACTGTGCAGAAATCCAAATTTTTAACAGCTTTATCTACATTCATAGAAAAAGAAAATCACGGCAGATATTTTGCGTCTTCCGATATTAAAATACGTGAAACGAGACGTTGTTTAACAACAACATTCAGTAACAAACTACAAGTGTTCGTAAAAGGAATACAAATAACAGACTGAAAGAAAGGAGTGCAAACACTTGAATTCTTTTTTCTACGAATCGCTGTTTCGATATGTTTGCGTCCTTCTTTCCCACTGCATCATCCAACAGCTGCAACCATTTGTTCGCATCCGATCCGCCAGCTTCAAACGTTTACTTAACAAAGAGGCTGACTTGTCTTTTCAATTCATTCCTTTTTAACGTCTCCCCGTCTTCTCTCAGATTCTAAGAATACTTTAAAATCCAGGATACCAATCGTAAAAGTTTACACGTACTAGCAGTACACGTTTAAATATGTCAGTCGTTTCTCTATAGACTCTCAAAGTCTTACTTTCATCCTGACAAGATACACCTAAAGTATAAACAGCTAACATGACAAAAAAATAGAACCTTGCTTTATTTCAAAGCTACTGCACTGCAAAACTTCCAATCGGACGAAATACT